CCCTCTCATGGCCACGACCACTGTCACGTTCCCGGTCATCATAATCATAATTGTAATCCTCTCGTGGGTCGACGCTCTCACTCCTTCCCCTTTCGGATGAGATTGGCATAGAAGGAGCGGGTGGAGCAGCAGCCCCGGTCCTCTCAGAACGAGCCTTTTGGGCAAGAGCCCGCAACTCCTGCTCTTTCCTTTCCTTCTCCTTCATCATCATCTCCTTTTGAACCTTTGATCTCATGGAAACGGCCTCTCTAGCTTTCTGCTCTGCTACATAGAGTGCCTCTGATAGCTTTGCAAAGTTATCATTGATCTGCACATCTTGTAGGCCTCTTCCATCAGCGGCAAGACGTTTGTCCAGAGGGATGGTATAACCTTTCGGATTTTTCCAGTTGGAGATGCAAGGGGGGATTTTCCAGTCTTGTTGGTCCTTAACAGTGACAGGCCGGGGAGGAGAATGCATGACCGGGACTGGAGGGGACCCAGAAGCCTTTGGAACTCGCTTGTGCTTGAACTTAGGAGGTTCCATCGGATCCACAGGCATCTCCACCATTCTAATGATCCTCTCCTTAGCACCAGAATTAAATGCAGCAGATTGCTGAGACGGTTTATACTTGATGTACTTTGAGTCACCAGACTGCTTCGGTACATTGTTAGGCTGTGCTGCGCTCAGCCTCACGTTCACAATCTTCTCGAGTGCAGCTTTTGTTTCCTCCATGGTTTCCTCTATCTCCTTCCGCAATTCTTCATCCTCGTCTTCATCCGCATCTCCCTCATTTTTCAAGATCTTGGGAATAATATCCTTATGTTGGGAGTAAACAATCTTCTTCGAGTTCTCATTCTGCTTGACAATAGCATCATAGACAACGTTGCCTTGGGCATCCACAGTGACAGGTAAAGTCTTGGAACCGGCTTTATTGGATCTATCCCTACCCATGCCAAGAGGGTATTGAGCAACATGAATCTCAGGGAATGCACCACCATCTCCGAAGTCCTCAGGTTTTCTCGGAAGAAAACCCTGTCGCTTCAAATAAGGGGGAACGGGCTTTGCTGTGACAACAGCAGATTTCTCAGATTCGGATTCAGTGAAACGATTCTTGAACCATGGGTCATTTGAATGATCATAAAAAGTGGAAGCAGTCGATTTAGCCTGAGGTAGAAGGTCTTTAAGAGAAGCCATTGACTTTCAGAAATTTATCAAATACCTACACCAGTACCGAGATACTCGAACTAACAACCTGCAGACAAGACACGAAGATAGAATCAGTTCCATGCTGTGAAGTCTCTACATGCATATCCGAACAACAGCCATACCAGATTTGACCTATGAACCAGGAAAGTTATGAAGGATTTATTATTGAAAAACTAAACAATCAAACAAACACATGCATGAACGAATTATAGAAGATACACAATCTAAAGGTGAAACACAAAACTAAGACATCTGACAAGCATTTACACAAGACATTCACTGTAAAATTACACTAATTGCCCATAATCCCAGCCCTAGTATAAACTAAAACCTGAGCTTATAGAGTAAACGGAACGCAAATTATTGCTCCAAAAGTTCAAATCAAGCAAACAAAACCATAACCCAGGAACAATTACAAAAGTTCAAGTCAAAATCTAAGAACAAATCTACCGGAAACGATTCAGGAAGCAGAAGACCGAGGAAAACAGACCTTTTGAGATGACAGGTGAGTTTGAGTTTCAAGAGCTTAAACGTTTAAGCATTTTATCAAACGCCCACACCCGAATGAAAGATATTCAACTATCACAACCTACAGACAAGAAGGTGAGGTAGAATCAGCTCCATGTCGTGAAGTCTTCTACAAACATCGGAATGGAAGAATCCGGACAACATACAAAATTCCAACTCAACCGGAGAAGATTTGCGAGGAAATTTCCATTGAAGAATCAAACAATCAAATAAACATACGAATCAAAACATCTGTACAAGCAAAACTACACCAATCGCCGAAAACCCAGCACCAGAAATTAAAACAAAGTATAGTATCTCATCAGGCAAAACGAACGTAAATCGATGGCTCAAAAGAGGGATGGGTAAACCCAAATAAATCCCCAAATCAATTGAAGCAATCACAAAAGTTCAAATCGTCTGCAAACGATTCACTAAACAGAGAAAGAACGAGAAAGTTAAGAACGATAGACCTTCCGACGAGTCTCGAGGTGAATAACGAGTTCGAGTCTCGAAGCTCGAACACGATTGGAGATCTTCAACCCGTGTTCTTCAAAGAGATTACGACACAGAGAGAGAGGATCGAAGTCGGCTTAAATCTCAGAACAGATAGAACCAAGCCCATAATATAATGGGCTTAATGGGCCTAATGGGCCTTTTAAATTTTGCATAGGCCTTATTCTATAACACCACTCTGTAATCTGTATATTAATATCTTCACTCTTTCTTTTATAATTACTGGATTTAGTTTATGAAAAATAAGTTTCTTTAATTATAATGGTGATCCACAGTGTGTGTATGTATATATATGTATATATTCAACACTTTCTTAATTAGAATTTTGTATTTCCCTTTTTGTATATCGAAAAATTGCATTACATGTTTTTAATTAAATACTAGATATCTCCGGTATACGCCGAGATATATGTACACATACATGTGTTAATTAATTAAGTAATAGCAAACAAGCCAACAATCTGAAAAAATAGTAAATGTTATATACTGAAAATGATTGTTTAACCCACATTCCATGCCAAAGCTAACCGGTTATTGCAGAATACCACGTTTCAAGCTAACCGGTGTTCAATTGGACAAAGAGGACATTTTGTACATTGTTCGGAGTAAATGTTGTACTGAAAATGTTTAATAAAACAAGTTTATAGTCTAAGAACTTTCTTAATTTCCAGTTGATGGTCGGTTTTCAAACCTTAGGTTAGAAAATATGTAGGGTTCAGTATAATGGCATTCTCTCTCAAATGTATTATATGTGATATATAGTGTCTTATAAAATTATGATATTTAATGGCAAAACATTTACTTGGAACAAAATGAAAGTTAACATTCAATTTTTTTTTAGTTAAATGTGAATGTTTTATTAAATATCCGGCCGAGTGTCGGCTATTTACAAGCTGTCATTTGACAACAATTGTTTTTATAATATATGCAAAAAGAATGAGTGAGACAATCCCATTAATGTATGCGAAAATAACCACCCATATTTTATTAGATGATATATTAATCATATTGTACAATGAATTATCACCTTGATTAATCAGTAATCACAGAGTATTTTTTTTAATATATTTAAAACAAAAATGGAAACGTCGCCTGAGAGATTCGAACTCTCGCGGGGAAACCCCATGTACTTAGCAGGCACACGCCTTAACCACTCGGCCAAAGCGACGTTGACATTTAAATGCAAATGTCTATTATACTTATACCTGCCATTGTCATCTCGGACAACTGCAACAATTGAGTTGAAATGTCGATGAAAACAAATCATCTGTCCGCTATGATACATCAAGCACTTTGTTCTGTCTGCATTTTCTGCAACATTGATTCATACCAGAAACAAAACCGAACAATTGTTCTTTAAAACGGTTGATCGAGAAACCATTTTTTTTTCCAAATGCAAGAAACTTCCCTCCCTCCCTCCCTCTCTCTGTATTCATCATCTTCGCTCCATAGTGCTGGCCCCCCAAAAAAGCTTCCTCATGCTCTGGAAAGAAGGGTTATTTGAAAAATAAAGACAGTGAATGCTAAATCTTTTACTTGCAGTTTTCCCACCACTCAACTGTTTCAGTCGAACAGCCAAAAAAAAAAAGTTCGAGTTTTTACATCAAGCTACGGAGGATGGAGAAGGGAGTTCTTTACCGAGTTTTTTTTTTCAAGGGAAGAGTGGCTGATGTAGAAGCCCCGTGTTTTCGGGATAACCCAACATTATGTTAAGATTCTGCAAAGCTTGACCCGAAGCTCCTTTCACAAGATTATCAATCTATGCAACCAAAGAAAAAAAAATATCCCCCGAAAATAAGCTCTCGTATTAAGGATTATTTTTGCATACAGGAGTAAGTACGTACATATGTGTTTACGAGAGGAAAAAGGTTAAGGTTACTCACAACTGAGATTACAATGGCTCTCCCCGGAATTCGGTCCGGAAATACGTTCACAAGACAATAGTTGGATCCTCTTACATTATGTGTACGAGGAACAACTCCTTTCTCCAGTACTTTCACAAACTCTTCTTCCTTCAAGATTTCAAAAACAGTTTTTTTTTTCTAAAAAAACGTGTAGAGAACCGGATATGGATGTGGGGAATTATACAAAATATTAGCGTAATCACCTCGTATGTCATTCTTAATTGCTGGTACAAGTCTTCAATCTTTACCCCCGGAGCCATCTCCACATACATTGTGGATTGCATTCCACGAATCTAACAAAAAAAGTGAATTTTACGTTGTAAATTAAAAAAAACTAAAGACTTTAGGGCAAGAACTCTTCGGTAAGCATCAATATCGTACCATTGGCATCAGATGTGGAGTAAAACTGATGGTAACTTTTGATTTCGCGGCATCTGACAATCCTTGTTCGATTTCAGGAACTACAATGCAGAGGAACTTGCGTTAAAAATCAAGAACATTTTAAGTATAAGCCCAACCTGAAGAATTCTGATCCGAAGAGAAAAAAAGGTCCCTAATCTGGAAAGTGGTGGCATATACCATGGCGGTGTCGTGTGACACCATAAGAATAAATGCCTTCAGCTATCTCGGAATACAAATTTGCCTCCTTTGCACCACGTCCTGTGTGATTTGTAAGTTTTTATCAACCAAGAACCCGAGAAAGAAAAGATTTCGCAAGCATTGTTCATGAAAAAATAAGACTTTTGAGTATAATAAGCCCGACCTGCTCCACTAACACCAGATTTCGAGTCGATAATAATGTTTTCATGTTTGATGAGATTTGCCTGGACCAAATGTGAACACACGTTAACTACAGATGTCTGAAGATTAGAATGTGTAACGAAATTCATAACTTCAACCCGAAAAGGAAAAAAGTTAGAGATAGTTGTGGGGAAAAAGGAAAAACCTTTATCAAAGGAACAAGGGGAAGTTGAATCGAAGTAGGGTAACAGCCCGGGTTAGCCACAAGCCGTCCCCTTTTTATGTCATCCCTCGATATCTCCGTCAGACCATACACAACTTCTTTCTACACTCGGAAGAACACATACAGTTTTATGTAAAATTTAAGTGACCAGTAAAGTAACCGACATAATCAAGGAATATAATTTCGAAGTATTGGAAAGGTAGAAAATGCCGAAGATAAACATACTTGTAGCTCCACAGCCTTGTGTGGCTGACCATACCATTCTTCATATTCTGAGATATCTCGCAGCCGGAAGTCCTGAAAAACCTCTTTCTCTATAAGCATATCACAGATATTTTGGCACTGTATAGAAAAAAAGGGCATTACCGCTGAAAGATCAACAACTTTTAGCTCCTTGGGGAGTCCCTTGATGATTTCCTGTCATATAATATAAGATAAAAGCCCGTCTTTTCATCCAGAAATCGATGAACTCGATATAAATTCAGAAGGCATGCCCAAAAAGTCACATACCTGGGTTGTCCCATGAGGCAAGCAACAAAATACGGCATCCACGGTGGAAAAGTCAGCATCTTTGATCGAGATCAATGTAGGTAGATCCTAAAAACGAAAGAGTTTTACACATTTGTACAAGCCATCATGAAAAGGATCATTTGGAAGATGTTTTTTTTTTTTTAATTTCAGTAGGCGTTAGACACGTTCATACTTGAGCAATCAGGTGAGGGAAAACGCTTCCCATTGACTGGCCAGCTTTTCTATCAGCAGTCATTAGAGTGATACGGAAATGCGGGTGATTTGCAAGAAGCCTGACGATCTGCCATTAAAATGAGACTCTGGCTTACATCAAAAGTTAAACCTATATGCATTATAGTCAGATGCTATTAAAGAAATCAAATTACAAGATTCATAAAAGCAATACCAATAAGACACTTTCATGGTTTGATGATCAAGAACAGACAAGATCATTAGAAACAGTTTTATAACCGGAAAAAGGATATGTGTTCTTCATCGGACCCACCTTCAAACCGATGTCTACACTATCATTTTCCTTGGAAACTGGGAGTGACTAAATTCAAAGGTTGTCATATATCACTAGGATGCTAAATTTTAGCCAAATATGTTCATCAAACCATGAAATGAGTGCCCAGAAAAGCTCATAAACTTGTAAAACAGATGCATGAAAGTGTTTCTGGTCCATTATAAAATCAAAAGGGCAACTAAACAAGTGATTCATGTGGAGTAATCTGGAAAAAAAAAAGGAGGCCACTTTGAAGAACAAATTGGACAAACCTCTGCACCAGTGTAACCACTTGCACCAAGAAGACCAATCCGAACATCTTTGTCGGAATTCACAGAACTTAAGGCTAAAGCTTTCAAGTTTCTCGCTGAGGATTTCACATTGCATCCTAAAGTAAACCTCTTGCGAAGATTTTGTGATGATGAAACCATCCTTTCTCCCTAAAGAACAAGAATTCCATTGAAACAAAACCAACAACTGTCAGAGTTTTGAAACGGAATCTGCATGAGTACAGAGAATGCTGCGGTCAAAACCAGACAAGATGTGAGCAATTTCTCAGATAAGAATCAGAAGACAAATCGGAATGGGTAACAGGAATTCTCAGACTTCACAAACCTTAAACCAGCATCCTCGTTCGAAGCAAATCGAGCTGCAAGCCGTCGTACTGCTCATTCTTCAATGCGTTTTCGCAACAATCGGACAAGACTCTGAAATGCAATGAACTTAACAGAAAAGTTTTGTTCTTTTTTCTTTTCCTGGGCTCAAACTAAACAGCAAACTGTGTGATTTCAAGTTTGAGATTAGGGTTTTTGCTTGGACGCAGCAGAAAGTACGGTGAAAAGTGGGCCCACTTTTCATTTTTTTAAAATATATAATTATTACGTAAACAAACAAAAAATGTCATATTCTATGAATTAAAATGATTGACAGGTTATCTCGAGAGAGAGCAAAAACGCAGAACGGAAGCAGAATCGAAATCGAAGAAAAGAAGAGAAATCGCACCTGAGCTTGAAGGCGGCGGGAATCTACAAAGGCCGACGAAGCGACGGAGAAAGGCTAAGAAATCGCGAGGAAAGGTTCGAAGTTGAGATGGGCGGAGAGTAAGCAACAGGAAACACACAGAGAACACGGGCGAAAGAGAGAGGATTCGGGAATCGCAGAAAAACACCACGGCGGCTGAAGACGCAGGAACACAAGCGAGAGAGAGGATCCAGAGGCGGTCGCTTCTTCTTCGACGGAACACAAACTGTCTGTCGAGAGAGAGTGAAGACGCGGGATCCAGACGATGGGCGCAGACCCAGGAAGGAGGCAGAGAGACGAGACTTCTGTTACAGAAAAGAAATGTCGACTCGAGTGAGAGGAGGGAGGGAGGCAAACCAAACCAAACCCTAATTTTTTACATTTAATTTCGGTTCATTCGGTTAACCGAACTAAATCGGTTATTTACCCAAACCAAGCTCCTACACGAAACGATACGAAAGCTCACAAAAGGGCGAAACTGTATCTGAAATCAAGATAACCAACAAAAACGACGCAGACAGCATCGGCAATATCAGATGCCTGAGTAAAACTGACGGTAACCTTTGAATTTCAGGAACTACAATAAAGAGGAACTCACCAACATACCCAAGAAATACCATTTCCAATTACTGGAAATGCAATCTACCAATCGTTTATAAAACCAAAGAGGGATGCAGTCGGACTTCCATACCCAGATAGCATTTGCAATATCTATGCAAAGATTTAACGGCCGCTGCCACGCTCGAACCCGATCCTGCTCCGACCCGACCCACCACCATAGTCATCCCTCGAGGACCCCCCACTAGCCCTCATCGTTCCTCCAGACCCGACTTTCTCCATCGCTCTCTTTCCTTTCTTCACTTCTGTCAAGAACTGGTCCAGACCAAACGGATCTGCTTCCTCTGCTTCCTTCTCAAACTCCACCGGTCTCTCTCTCTTGCCCAATTTCTCTGATGTTCCGGTGAATCCTTTGTCCGGTTTGAACCTGTCCGTCTTCATGAGCTTCTCTAGCTGTTCGTCGGCGTTCCCGTACATCTCTTCGTCCATATCTTTCTTTGGCTTGTAAAGGGTCGAAAGAGTTGGCTGTGCTGTGAACAAGCCCTTGTCGTATACGTTGTACTGGTCATCAGTGGCGAAACCAGAGTCCATTCCTTTGTCTTGGTTAAACAGGCGTTGGTCATACATAACTTCACCGCCCCTTGTTCCGGTGGAGGCCATTCCGAGAGCGACTTTCTCGCTGATATCACGGTCTCTGTCCCTTGTGATCTTGCTCTTCTTACCCATAGCTGCATCCTTTGCTTCCAACCTTCTCTCCCTCTCTCTCTCCCTCCGGCGTTCTTCACGGATCTTCTCCCTCTGTAGACGCTCTTCCCTTTCCTCTCTATTCTCCTTGGGGAAGTCGCCACGGCCACTGTCACGTTTCCGTTCATCGTAATCATAGTCATAATCCTCTCGTGGGTCGACACTCTCACTCCTCCCCCTTTCAGATGACACTGGCATGGAAGCAGCGGGTGGAGCAGCAGCCCCGGTCCTCTCAGAACGAGCCTTTTGGGCAAGAACCCGCAACTCCTGCTCTTTCCTTTCCTTCTCCTTCATCATCATCTCCTTTTGAACCTTTGATCTCATCGTAACAGCTTCCCTAGCTTTCTGCTCTGCTACATACAGTGCCTCTGATAGCTTTGCAAAGTTATCATTGATCTGCACATCTTGTAAGCCTCTTCCATCAGCGGCAAGACGTTTGTCCAGGGGGATGGTATAACCTTTCGGATTTTTCCAGTTGGAGATGCAAGGGGGGATTTTCCAGTCTTGTTGGTCCTTAACAGTGACAGGCCGAGGTGGAGAATGCATGACCGGGACTGGAGGGGACCCAGAAGCCTTTGGAACTCGCTTGTGCTTGAACTTAGGAGGTTCCATCGGATCCACGGGCATCTCCACCATTCTAATGATCCTCTCCTTAGCACCGGAATTAAAGGCAGCAGATTGCTGAGACGGTTTATACTTGATGTACTTTGAGTCACCAGACTGCTTCGGTACATTGTTAGGCTGTGCTGCACTCAACCTCACGTTCACAATCTTCTCGAGTGCAGCTTTTGTTTCCTCCATGGTTTCCTCTATCTCCTTCTGCAATTCTTCATCCTCATCTTCATCCACATCTCCCTCATTTTTCAAGATCTTGGGAATAATATCCTTATGTTGAGAGTAAACAATCTTTTTCGAATTCTCATTCTGCTTGACAATAGCATCATAGACAACATTGCCTTGGGCATCCACAGTGACAGGTAAAGTCTTGGAACCAGCTTTATTGGATCTATCCCTACCCATGCCAAGAGGGTATTGAGCAACATGAATCTCAGGGAATGCACCACCATCTCCAAAGTCCTCGGGTTTTCTCGGAAGAAAACCCTGTCGCTTCAAATAAGGGGGAACGGGCTTTGCTGTGACAACAGCAGATTTCTCAGATTCGGATTCGGTGAAACGATTCTTGAACCATGGGTCATTTGAATGATCATAAAAAGTGGAAGTAGTCGATTTAGCCGGAGGTAGAAGGTCTTTAAGAGACGCCATTGACTTTCAGAAATTTATCAAATACCTACACCAGTACCGAGATATTCGATCTAGGCAACCTGCAGACAAAACACAGAGATGAAATCAGTTCAATGTGGTGAAAAAACTACATGCATATCCCAACAGTAATGAATTGAAAAATTAAACAATCAAAAACAAACATAAGCATGAACAATTTATAGAAGATACACAATCTAACGGTGAAACACAAAACTAAGACATTCGAACAGCATTTCCACATGGCATTCACTTAAAATATCACCTAGAAACTAAAACCCGAGCCCATGAGTAATCGGAACCTAAATTAATGCTCCAAAAGTTTAAATCACGTAAACCAAGACCATATAAATCCCAAGTCAATCACAAAAGTTCATTCTGTGGATTCTAGAACCGTAGATTGATCCTCTGTAGAGTTTAGCACTGTAGAAAAAGAAGATGATGAAGTAGCTAGAAATCCATTCGTCGAGGGACAGCCCACACTTATATACACAATCAGACATTTGTAGACAAAACAACAATTAGAAAAAACACAGAACCAAGGGACAACCCACACATATACACAGTCAGATTCATTCAATCGACACTACAACCACATACACTAGAATTAGCCTATGTCTGAAGAAGAAGAAGAAGAAGACAGACAGACAGATACAAATTGCAAGAAGAAGAAGACGCGGACACAAATCAGCAGAAGAAGAAGACACAAATCGCTGGAAGAAGAAGAAGAAGAAGAAGCCAACAGACAAAGAAGAAGACAAACACAAATCAGGAATCATCATCATCAGATGAAGAAGAAGGTCGACATATTTTTTTGCTGCATCATCAGTTTCACATACAGATTATACACACACCTATATATATTATACATACACATACAGATTATACACACAAAGACACAACACATACAGATTACACACACACATACACAACATATTACAGAAACAACACCAAAAAGAGGGAGACATCATTAACTAAACTAAAAACTTACACATACAGATTGCAACAACGCATACGCACACACAAACTACAAAGGTCCTATCTCTGTATCGAACAAGGATCACACACACACATATCACATACAGAACACATACAAATAACAAGTTACAAATACAATACACAAAACGGACTCGACAAAGGAAGACAAATGAAAACGATGGAGACAAAGGAACTCACGGTGACAGTCTAAGACCGAGAGAGGAGCATCCGAGTTAGAACCGACAGAGGAAAAAGAATCCTGCACGCAACAACAGAGAAATCGACAGTGAGAGAGGATTTCGAAGGCGAGATCGACAGAGATGGATAGTCAGGGACAGATGTGAAATCGAAACCAAAAAAATAGGGTTGAAGCAAAGAGATATACCTGGAAAGGAGAGGAAGAAGTCGACGGCGATGCAAATCGACCTGGAAATCGGCAGACCCACGATGAATTTGGCAGAGTAATAGAAAAAGAGTTTGGAGTGGAGAGAGACTGAGAGAGGCACGAGAGACTCAGAGCAAGAGACCCACGATGAACCCTAATTTTTTTTCAATGAAAGCTCCCGAACCGATCGAGCCGACCGAACCGACTCGGGTGGATTCGCACCCGGTTTGTTCGGTCCGTTTTTATTTGGACTCGGACAAAAAAAAAAGTCAACAGTGAGCCAACTCACGAGTTTAGCTCGTTTTGCCGTTAAAAACTCGAATTTTATCGGATCTAAAACCTAAATTCAATATTTTTGATATGGATTCGAATCGAATTTCGGGTTTCGGATCAAAATTAAGACGTAGGTGGAGTATAACGGTATTCTCTCATCTATTATATATTTTTATAGTATATGTAAAATTATGATATTTAATGATTAAACATTTACATGAAACGATAAATGAAAATAACATTAAACCGGCATCCTCGTTCGCACTGCTCATTCTTCAATGGGTTTTCCCAACAATCGGACAAAAATCCGAAATCTAATGAACTTAACAGAAAAATTCTGTTCCTTTTTTTTATATATATATAATTATTACATAAATGATTAGTAGAAAATAGAAATTAAAGGGCCATCCTCTAAATGAACATAAAATGTCACATTGTGTGAATTAAATAAAAGGTTATTTACAAAGTGAATTTCTTTACAGATATAAAATGCTTTATGTGAATGTCGTCGGTCCAACAAATGTAATATATATATATATAATATACTAAGATAACAACGTATGAAAAGATGTGAAGATTGCAAGGCACCACCATCCCAATAGATTCAATAATGCACTCTTCCTTTATCTTACATTGACAAACTAACAAGACGATGAGATAACAAAAAAATGTGAAGGGAAATTACAGAATCCAAGCCCTAGAGCCATATATCAAACTGAGCCTCAAGAGAAACAATACAATATCCAATGGATTGAACATGAATATATGAACGACTAAGTTTAAAAAAAAACACCATTTAACAAAAACAAAACCCACCAATAAAAAAGAAGAAAAAAATCAATCAATACAAATGCTTCCCAAAGAGATTTCTCCTGCAAGATGATGATGGTGATGATGATGCATCCAAAACCATGCATGCCCATCAAACAAAAAGATCAAACCTTCCATGGGAAAAGAATCACAAGGAAAAAAAAAAAGTCCACCAGAAAATGAGCCTTTTTTAGCTGCTCTCTCCTCCTAGAGTGTTGAAACTAAATGTCAAACTTCTTGGGTTGACGCCAATGAACCAAATTTCTCCCCAGTGAGCTTAGGAACGCCGCTTTCTGAGGAACTCCCTTCTTACCATACAAATGTTTTCCTCCTAAGTCTGTCTTTATGGGAACCATGTCCTTTCTTCTCTCAATCTGTCCATCACGCATGACAAGTTCAGTTGCTTGTCTGTCTTTTATATTGTACGTGTCCCTAACTAAGATGATTTTTAGGTAAAGACTTTATATTTATGTAATAAGCTTTTTACCTTGTATATCTTTCCGTTCTTCAAGTGGTATCGGATTCCAGACCAGTTTATGGATTGAGAGAAATGAGAACGGAGAGCAGAGATCGGGTAGAGGAAGTTGTCCACCAGCATTGCAATGAAAACCTGCAACATTCCCGAAACTTTCCCTTTATACCACAGCTTTTTTTTTCCGACATTTTACATCGATTTAGGGACGAGGTCACTTACAAGTCCCCAGTTATAAGTTGCAAGAGAGAGTCGAGGAGCCTCAGGGGACAACATATTGCATAGCAGAACTTCTCTCCTCGTCAAATTCCACATTGACAAAAGTTCCGCAAAGGTGCATATTGCTAGAGATATAACGAGCAACATACCTGTGCACACAACCAGTAAGCATCATCCAGGTAAGTACACAACATAAGAAATCCTACTGATTTCCAACAATATTCCTGGTTTCCGAGCATTTAACCTAATTCACAGGCTTAGATGCTAGGAAAGAGCAAGGTATTTAGCAAACACGAATCTTGTATCCTGTAATTGTATGCCATAAAGCTTCTGTCTGGACCCTGGAGACACATAATCTCAGCTTTACACAGCTTACTGAAGAAATAGAACCACTAAGCTCCTGGTTTTCAGGAATACTGAATAGGTCCAAGATTTAGCATATATCTTTAAATTGCTAGATATCCCATGACATGAAGAAAAGGGCTCAGAACAACGGCAAATTACTTTGTGGACACCGTATTGCCTAACTAAAATAAGAGGATAAGTATGCTCACCTCTGGAGGCAAAGGATATGTCCTCGAGTTGATATCCCTTGATATATATTCTTAAGGCTGATGTGACATGGATCAAAGCCATAAAATATGGTGTAATGAAGCCCCATGAAAGATAGCAGTGGGTTGCAAATAAAGCCTTGTTCATCGCCCAGTTAACTTTTGATATATACGATTCTAGCACAAAGGTTTGTTTCCTCAAGTAGTTCCAGTACCTACAGTCGAAGAGAGGTGGATAGGTAAGCCTCTTCAGATTCAGTAGCTTTAAGGCAGGTTCTAACAAGTACATAACAAATGTACCTCCCGAAACTTAGATCACTGGCAAGAGGATGAGGGAAAACAGCAACTGGAGGTGATGTAATGAGCCTCTTGTGAGCCCCTGGAAAAATATGGTATGTGGAAATAAGAAACTATGGACTGTTTATACAACATGTATCATGCTTAAAATAATCGAAATGGTGCAGTCATTGAGGAATCCAAATGGCCACATTACCTGCAATGGCTGCAAGTGTCATATCATCAGAATATCCACCATCACATAACCCAGAGACAACACCATATCGATCTTCTCTGAAATCATCAGCATGCATCTAGAAATAACACAATCATAAACATAAGGCGTAGCACACAAATGACAAAACACAGGAAAATATCAAGTTATTCACATACCATCATGCATCCTCCCCACAGAAAGAATGTTTGTCCACCGGTTGCAAAACCCATTGAGCAAGGCTGTAAGAGAAATATATCCAAACATGAGCTGAGGTACCCGAAATATTACAAACATGGAAGAATTTTAAGTACATACTAACGAATGACGAGTAGATCAAAGCAAAAAGACAAAAAATGTTCAAACAAATGGCAGACAAATTTCTGAATTCTAGAATATGGAAGAAGAAGAAGAAAGAGTCAAAAGCTATATACCATGTGGTACTCGTAGATGCAATAACTCCCCAGTGTTCCGGAAGGCAGGTCAAGAGGGTATCCAGTTTGGATAAATATCTGCACAAGACCACACTGATGCAGTTTAACAACTCTAAATAACAGGAGAAGCGGCGTTGCAAAAGCCTAGTCCTCACCATGTCTGAGATACACATAAAAAGAAATAGAAAAAGGAAGAAGTTCCAAGTAAGAGCATTCAGGCATTTAACTCATGCACTCATTTTACCTCTGGATTTTTCTCCATCTCCACTGTGAGGGCTCCGATTGTTCCAGGGTGTAGTCTAACATCGTCATCCAGAAATAGCACATATTTGGTATCTTTGTGCATTTTCTCAACTCCAACCTTCACAGAGCACAACCCAAAGGGAGACAAATTTAGCAACAGCCAAGGAATAAAACAACAGAAATGAGATGAGCATTCGGTTCAAATAATACATTGAATTCCAAATTTGGTTTAACATTTTACCCCCACGGATTCTAAATATAGTATTATCAGATGCAGAAGTACAGGTTACATAGAAGACAACGAAAACCCGGTCTTCAGAGACGAAACTCACACGTGCATGCCAAGAATTGAATTATTTCGTTGTAAAGCTCATACATACCAATTGATTATGAATTTTCTGACTGCAAGTTGTTGCCAAACCAGCAACCACAATCTTTGCATCAACATAGTCCTGCACAAGTTTAGAAATGCATTTGGGCAGGGATGTCAAACCACATAGAAGCGAAAGGAGCCTAATATGTTTGAGTATTCTCAGTCAATGTATGGGCTGTTAGAACGTATAAAAACGAAAAAGTCACAAAATCTCAAAATGATATTCAGATATGTTTTCATCGTTTTCCAGCAGAAAACAGGTTCAACAACCAAAACGATTTGACTTGTGAGACTTAACCGCACCTGAAACTCAGAGAGTAAGCGGGAAACAGCATGATATGCAGGGTCTTCAATACTCTCAACAACAAAAAGAAATTCCAACGGGCCACCATAGAGAGAAGTAATCTACACGATATTCATGGACCAATGCCAAAATTTACAATCAGAAGGAAGATATTTTCTCCAGAACATAACTTGCGATGAAGAGGGAAAGTAAACACCGCCAAGACAAGGAACCAGACATAACACACAGCATGAGAGACAGACCTGACTTCTCCAGTTATGCAAATTGTGTTCTCCAAAACCCTTTAAAGGCATGATGACCGACACTCTAGGAAGATTGACCTGATTAGAGTGTTCAAGTTCATTGATATCTTCACAAAGGAATGCAAAGCTATTACCCGTTTTCATTCTTATTTTCATTCTCTTAATCTCTCTGTTCCTGGAAGGAGAAACAGCAACATACATTTTTCAGGAGAAAAAGAACACAATCCCAAATCAAAATAGTATCACATTCAAAACCAGAATGACACAGAGATTGATCAGATTCATAGCAATACCTAACATAGGCGGCCAAGAACCATCCGAGAGCAAGAACCAAGCAGATAAGACATCCCTGATACATGTATAGAAGCACTATGAATAACACAGCAGAAAAGAAAACATATCCCAGAGGACAAAAAGCCCAATCAAACACGATAATGCGAAGACATAAGTCAAAACACGCATAGTGTCCTTGTAATGGATCTTCGAATCACAACATTGCACCCAAGAAAAGATGGATACTTCCTGCTGCAAACGAGTACAAAGCTACAATGCTCGACTTCCTGA